CAAGGAAGTGCATACTGTGGGAAAAATGTACCCAATGCTTTAAGTCTACCCATTTCAAAAAGTCTCAAGACCTTTGAGTAAAAAAATCAAGCAAATGTGAACTCCAAAACCATTTCCTCATTCTGTAATATTTTACTCCAATTTCAAAACATCTTCAAAATAAAAATTCTATTGCTACGTGAGCTGAGATATTCTGCAAGCGAATCAATTTGGAGGTGGTTGTCTAATACTGCCTAATTATCGATTTACTTTTAAAACATGCTTTAGTTATTGTTGTAACAAATTTAAGATTTCTCTCAGTATAGCATTCCATTGCAGTTCCCCGCGGAGATTTTAAAACTTTCAATTGTTTAAATAATCGTTAAGCTCAACTTAATACAACTGTGATCCATAAATTGTTAGGTGTACAATTTTAGTCAAAGTGAATATACATACAATACTTAAAAACCCAAAACAGATGTTTTCGTAATATATCAAACTAAAACTTTAAAAATAAATATACTATAGTATAAAAGAAAAACTACAATGCATGCTTTTAAAGCACCTCAAACTAAAAAGTTAAAGAATTATTACTAAAATAACCTTACAACAATAATGAACTAATGGTACTCTTATTACGGTGAAAAAAGCGTGGGTTGTTCGATATGCGAAAAAAAGGCATTAGAATACTTTTTTAGTATTTATACTCTCGCGACATGTTCCTACAGAGTATAATAGTTTTGTTCACCCAACAGTTTGTATTACCTAATAATATATATGGAGTTACCATTTATATATTTATATATATATATAAATTGTCAGGATGACGAGTCGAGTTGAAATCTTAGTGACTGTATGTCTATCTGTAAAAGCAAAAAAGCACCAGTGGTACAAAAATTTTGAAAAAAAGGACGTGACCCCGCACTCTAATAGCTTTAATGTATATATCTCTTAAATTACTAAAACCACCAATAACCAAAGGCTTAGGACAAATCTCATAAGAACGCTTACCGACGGTGTGAAAATGGATGAAATCGGATTTTAACCCCGTCCTCTCCCCATATAACGGTTTTGTTAAAAACTACTAAAAGTGCGATGAATCAATAAGTAAATGCGTCAGAGACATTATTTTACATCCGGTTTTAAAGAAACCGTTGTCGAAATGAACGATTGCGTGGCGCCGCCCACATAAGGGCGAAATCATTTATCTCCGGAACTACTTGATCAATTTTACATTCCAGTATACAAACCAAATGGATTGAATCGTGTCAATACTTTCCTTAGCCCCCATATACTTTATCCAAATTCTTCCGAACTTCCGGTTTATATCATACCGCATATATCGGCTAATATGTAAGCTATCTCAATAAAATTGTGTGTATTTTCCTTATAATGGTTCATCTGTGTGACTAAAATAAGTAAAATCGAATGGAAACTTGCCCTAACCCTTATATAACAAATCACTGAATTTTCAAACATCCGGTTGATTTAATGAAACTCAGGGAGTATTTTATTTTCTGTTAATAGTATTGCTAAAAATATATTAAATCGGGTCAATATTATCCCAATCTCTCTATAGCTAATACAAAATTGTCAAATTTCCGGTTGGCTTAATGCTATATATAATATATCAGTCAATGTGAAAGATATCTTAGCAAAATTAACCGAACTTATAATATTGTATTGTATATTTATTATATACGAAGTGTGTTCAAGGAAAAAGGTGAATTTTGATTTTTCGCGGACTGTGTACATTCGATTATCGATATTTTGTTTATAATCGGACACATATGTTATACATGTGCCTGCATTAGGAGCTAATTTCGATTAGTACTTAGTTTTCACATCAGAAAAGGTTAGTCACGTTTTTGTGTGCTCTTTGATTTTTGACTTTTAAAAGAAATGGATCAAAGAATATTTATTATATAATATTAGGGAAGTTGCAGAAGATGTTGGCATATCAATCGGCTCATGCCATTGAATTTTCTCGAATGTTTTGGGCATGAAGTGCGTGGCAACAAAGTGTGTTCTGCATCACTATAATGCAATAACTCACACATAAATGCCTATTCGTGATTTTTTGGCCAAAAACAAAACCGTTATTATGCCTCAATCACCGTATTCCCCAGATTGGGCTCCCTGCAACTTTTTCCTATTCCCAAAACTGAAGAAACCAATGAAATTAAAGCGTTTTGCAACAATTGATGAGAGCATGTCAGAAAAGAAAAATAAGGCTGATGGACTTACCGAAAAGTGCATTTCAAAAGTGCTTCGAGGATTGGAAAAAGCGTTGGCACAAGTGCATTATATCTGAGGGGGATTACTTTGAAGGGGACAAAATAGATATTGATGAATAAATAAGTGCTTTTCGAAAAAAATTAAAAATTCACCTTTTCCTTTGAACATATCTCGTATATATAGATATATATATAACTATAGTTAAATGCCGAAAATATGTGAATTTAGTCTACGAATACGCCAAATACTCTCTATATTAATTTTCGTTATTCTAACAATCTTTTTGCCGAACATGTCGTTCAATGTGTGAGTTATATATTTATAAAATAGTTTGAAAATATGATCTCAAGTATACCTAGCAATGTCAAAATTATTTAAATCAGCCCATCCTTTTCACTGTCTCTAATGTAGACTGTATAACAATTTCCAATTTTCCACCTGAAAAAATTTGTGATACTTTAATATAAGTTAAATGAAGAAATTTTATTAAAAATTGTGTGGAAATATGAATGAAATTAGTCCACACTTTTGTCCAAACCTTGTAGTCCTAAAATAAGGAATTGCAATCCTCTTCTTGACGTTTTCACATCAACTCATTATAGTAAATTTAGCTTCTTCGGTTGAGTTTATATTCCATGTATCTCATTTGAAGATGATTTTGATACAATTTTAACCGACGCAAAGCAAAATATAGTAATTAAAATAAGTGAGTGTATGACCTATAATATTATATAACGTAATAAAATAAAAACTCGATTGTAATCCATTGACGATTTCGTCGAATAATGAAGTGTTTCGTAATATTTAATATAAACTTTTCTTAAAACCTGAGGGTATTTTCTTTACTTTGATTCTTGCAAGTTGCAAGAGTATAAAATGTTCGGTTCCACCCGAACTTAGTCCCTCTTTACTTCTTTTCGTTACTTGGTAACATCAAATCAGCTGTTTGTTTGGCGTCGTAGCCTAAAAAGTTTATTTGATTCATTGCGAAAAAATACATTTGCTGCTCGCTACAAAATTGTTTTAGTAAAATTTAAAAAAATAAATATTTAATAAAATTGAATAAACTGTTTTGGAACAAAAATTAACAACACATCTGTGATAGCGCAAAAAGTAGATATGTTTACATTAAAGTGTTTGAACGAAGTTCGGTCTTAATACCCGTAAAATAAAGATTTTTAAACTTCCAGCTGAGTTATCTCAATAGAATTAAATGAGCTTGCTTTTCTAATAATGATGCACATTTGTGCCTAAAATGATTAAAGTCGGGTGAAAACTTACCCTAACCCCTATACAACTGGAATAATTCAGGATTTTGAAACATTCGGCTGACTTTACTACTTATTTATATTATATATAACATTAAGGCCAGAAAGTTTCCGATAATTGTAAATAAAACAAACATTTTTTAATCTTCGTCAATATTTATTTGGTCAACATTACTGAATACAATGAAAAAAAATACAGATCATGACATAACAAAAATCGAAGCGACATTTAGAAGTCCCATCATCCCTATTGGAAAACCCGATGTGTCTGAATGTCAAAAATGGGCTGAATCGGGTCAATGCTTCCCTTAATATGAATATTTTCGAACCTCCGTATGACTTTATACCGCATACAACGGCAAATATGTGTGTTATCTTAATAAAAAAAGAATTTTCGAACATCCGGCTGACTCTACTCCATATAGATATATATATGTGATATGTGAGGTACCTTAATGAAACCCAGGGAGCATTGTATTAGTACTTGGCATTAATAGTATGTGGTATTGGCAAAAATAGATAAAACCGGGTCAATACTACCCCCATTTTCCATATACTATTTATAATGATTTCCGTTATGCTAACAAGTTTTATGTCGAATATGTCGGTCAGTGAGTATTATTTATATATAAAATTGCTTCAGTATATGCTCTCGAGTATACTTCAGCAATGTCGAAATTCCCCAATATACCCCCTAAAATGCTTTCCGCCTTTCCACCTGTATTAAAACCGTTCAAGCCGGTCAAAATGTATGATATTTTAAAGAGATTCAATGGTCAAGTTTTCTATATGGTTTAGCGCTGAATTAGAATGGAATTGGTCTATACCTTGGTCTAAGCCTCATATCCCTAATATTATGAATTCCGATCCTCTGGTTGACGTTTTCTGCATCAACTCAATATATTAAATTAAGCCTCTTCGGTGGAGTTAATATCCCATATATCTCATTTGAAGATGATTTTAATACAATTTTAGCTGACGCAAGTGAAATATTGTAATAAAACTAAGTGAGTCTGTGGCCTATTATATAACTTAATAAAATACCAAGTTTGATTTTAATCTATTGTATTTACGATTTCGTCGAGTAATGAATGTTTAAATCTTTCGCAACATTTTTTAATATAAAATTTTCTTGATTCTTGCAAGTTGTAAGAGTATAAAATGTTTGGTTACACCCGAACTTAGTCCTTCCTTACTTGTTTTAAACTATATTTATTATATTGTATAATAAGGTTTAGCGCTAATCGAGTCTGAATCTAAACCTCATTCCCCTAATACGAATCTATTTATGTACACTTCTAGTTGAATTTTTCCTCCTTATGTTAAATACATGTAAACTGCGAGAAAATAAAATGTTCGGTTACACCCGAACTTGGCCATTCTTTACTCGTTAAGAAATTAACGAATGAATTAACTTCTGATTTTGTGAACTAATCAGCGGTACTGTCATAATGACATACATCATTCACTAGATATTGTCATTCTACCTCCCGGGGCTTACTATTAAAACCAGAGTTGTGTGTTAAAAAATAAAAATTACATTTATTAAAAAATTATCAATAAGCATTTTAGCATTTCTGTTTATCGGGTCTTTCTGTGGCAGTGTATAGTAATTAGTAAGTATGCAAAACATCCTATTAGTTACGATATTGGAGCTTGAGACATGTGATCAAGGCGCCATTTAATGCTTTAATTGTGTGGTAAACAATTAATTCGACTTAAGTAAGTTTAAATGTTACGTTTTGTTAGGAATTTAAGAATACATTCGAGTTAGGCTACAGCTTATTTTAACAACTAGGTTATTACTGATACGAAAAAATATCGATTATTTTGTAAAAATCTAACATTTTCCATTGGTTGGTGCCTTCGGCCGGCAGATTTTACTGCGACCATTTGCACCGTATACTATGTTGCAGGAAAATGTGAAGTAACCACAAGTCGATGACTTGGTGTAATAAGTCGATTGGAAATTCTTATTTTCCTGTGGTGGATTCTTAGTGTTATCCATACTGCCAGTAATCGATTTGGTCACCGTTACATAACTGTCCGGTGTGCGATGTTTTGTTGGTGTCTGCTCTTCAGCGCTATCTAGATCATTATCCGTGGGTTGAGATTTCACTGCCTTGGTGTGGAATTTTTTCTCCACGTTAACGGTACCGCGGAAACCACGTGGTACCATTTCTGTGGTCGATCGGAAAGGATATTTCTGCACACGTCCATTTTGATTTTGTACCAATAGATATTTATCTGGCGAATTGGGTACAGCAGCCTGTTGACTCTGTGTCGGTGAATTTTGTGTATAGGTTCGATATGGTGATTGGGACTCGGGTTTGTTACCGGTTTGACTATCCAACTTCGAATTTTCATTGTAGTATTCATCTTCATCATCGTATTCGTCGTAAGGTTCCTCTTCTTCATCTTCGTTTAAAGTGGAATCTTCGTCCGTAACCTTGTTGGCGTTCACGACTAAAATAAAATGATTTTATATACAATAGGAATAAATGCGAATGTGTGGAGATTCGACAAAAACAACTATTTGGTATTCCTTCATATTTTTCAAATATAAAATAGTTTTCAAACGACTAAAGTCCGACCTATCTTCAGTCAATAAAAATATTTTTCTTAAAATAATATCTACAGTTTTTTAAATATATGGTTCAAATTACTGTTCAAAAACTAACATTTCAGAATTCTTCCTAAATCAATACCTTGATGGGTGCTGAGTTAACTACAATGAGTGTAAGTTTTTATGTCTGCTAACCGAGTGTATTGCAGAGGTTTAATAAACTCAAAGTGTGTTTCTGACATGAACCCCTAAACAAAGGTGCTAAATTCTTTTCGTTATAATAAGTACAGAGACGCATATCAATACTTTGTCAAAACTCCATTGTGTATGTGCCGGAATGAAAATATGGAAGTCAAAATTTTTGTGTAACCTACTTTCTTTAACACTCTTCGAAGACTTCAACTCAAGATCTGGTAAAGCGTTGCCCTCAGCTGTCAATGCTGTTCCACTAGGTCCACTATATACGGTGTCTACACGATCAGTTACACTAGAAATAGTTGTTTTTACTTTGGTTAGGTTATGTGTGTCTGGAAAGGGCATAAACTTACGCATCAGTATTTCCAAACTGGCTTATGCTGTTAAATAATTCACGATTTTGTTCGCGATAACTTGCAACTTGCTCTTTAGTACCCGATGCAGATTGGGCTGCACCGTGATATGATACACCGAATCTGAAATAAGTTATTTGAACTATATTTACAAAATGTATTTGTAAGAGTAACTCACTTAGATGTGCCCTGAATCTGCGATTGACTCTGTCCTGAGTGGCTACCAGATTGAGCAGATGCTTGGCCACCTCCGGTTGTTGGTGGTAGAGCACTACCATCTTGATTGGGTCGGAAACCAATTTGAGCCTGGGATGATGTTTGCCCAGGTCCGCTGGACTGAGAATCAGCCAAACCTCCTTTATCGTTGGCTTGTACCTTTATGTTTACAAGGAAATGAGTGAAAAAGTTAACATTATGATTATATCAATGCCAAACAAGTTTTTATTTTTCTAAATCACTCACCTCACTTTGACTTTGATGGATTACACCTCCGCTTTGTGAGGATGCTTTAGTGCCTCCATTTTTCGAATTGACTTGAACCTGCGCTTGCGATTGTGCTGCCCCACCTTGTCCTTGAGACTGACTCATTGCTCCATCACTATTTCCACTCACTTGGGCATTAGCTGAGCGGTCGCTGTCAGAAGTTGAAGCGCTGGCGCTGAACGTTCCAGTGGAACTATATGTTCCTGATACCTGAGTTTTGGCAGTACCGCCATTCTTTTTGCCTTGTGCACTGGCAGCTGCTTGGCCTTCGCTAATTGAGGATTCAGCTTGTGAGAATGCATCATCAGTTCCTCCTGCACCACTTGCTGTTAGTTGCCAGGTCCGTCAATTAAATTTTTTTTCATATTATAGTGTTTGTAATTAAATTTAATAAACATTTAATGAAATATTTACCTTCCTCTTTATACTCACCCAAAGCTCCCGCGCCAGGGACGGCAGCTCCAGGGTATACTAAAGCACCAGGTCCTACTGAAACACTACCTGGGAGGACACCAGCACCACCAACTCTACCGACATCAGTGGATCCAGTTCCTGTACCTCCAAGTGGTCCAAATGTTCCACTACCGGGTAATGTGCCCGGCCCATAAGCATCAGCAGGGTATGTTCCCGCTAGACCTGGACCTCCTGGCTGAGCACCACCTGATTGTTCGTACCCAGGCCCGTAAATACTGCCAGTACCTGGTCTATAACCTACACCAGGTTGCACACTGCTGCCTGGTTGAGTAACATCAGGTCCTCTCAATATTGAGCCATAACTTCCGCCCTGTTGATCTCTTCCAAGTTGCGAGCCTGTTGCGGGTTGTGAACCTGCATTTGGTTGAAGCCCGCCGCTGGGTTGATAGCCCGTACCAGGCTGTATTCCTCCACTTGGTTGATATCCAGAACCAGGTTGATAACCTACTCCTTGTTGTAGTCCAGGGTCCGGTTGATAACCTAATCCTGCACCTTGTTGTAAGCCTGCTCCTGGTTGATATCCTGATCCTGGTCGTAATCCTGCTCCGGGTTGTTGTTCAGCCCGTGCTTGATAACCTGCTCCTGGTCGATAACCTGCTCCTGGTTGATAACCTGCTCCTGGCTGATATCCTACACTTGGTTGTAATCCTGCTCCGGGTTGTTGTCCAGCACCTGCTTGTACACCTACACCGGGTTGAAAACCTGCTCCAGGTTGCAAACCTGCTCC